TCCCAAATCCAGCTCCCTGTATCCAGCTGCCCACACCACCACTGAGCCTGGGACTGCCCCAGTGCCTCCTGCTCTGCAGCACCAGTGGAGATTGCTATCAGGAGGGAGTCAGGTTCAATATCAGGCTTACATATAGTTGTATGTAGTTCTTTATTTTTATCATTTCACTATTATTTCCATTATTGTTTCATTAAAGCTGTTCTAGTTTTTTGTCTCCTAACCCGTAAGTCTCTCTGCCTCATTCTCTTTTCCTTCCCATTTAGGGAGGTGAGAGGGGAAAGAGGGGCTTAGAGAGCATCTGTCCGTGTTAGTGGCCGGCCCAGCCCTAACCCACGACAGGTTCTTTCTTCAGTAAAGAGCATCCAGGTTTCCCACCTGGCCCTCCTCCTTCCACAGACCCACCACGTACCTCAGCAGAGGATTCTCAATTAGTTTTAGCTTTTGTTTTAAGTGCTCTATTTTCTCATACAATTTTAGTCCTTCCACCATTGAGACATTTTCTACTTCTGAGTCCGAATCACTGCTTGATATGCTGTTCCTCACATTTAAAAATTTCCTGTAAAGTTCTTCACATTGAGACAACAAGTTGTGGTAATCAGCTACAAGCCCAGAAGGTACACGGTGTTCAAGGATGTCATAATGCCTGCAATTCAGAGCAAAAGGTCAACATATTTCACATTTACAATTTTGAGAGATTGAATACAAACCCATAAAGAACCTGAGGAGTCCTGTATCAGTACTTTAGTCAAGATTCTCTACAATCTGTATCAACAGTGCTCAATTTTTTTGAAAGCAGCAAAACCAAAAGTATGAACAGATGCAAATGCATTAATTTCTAAATGCTGCCCATCTACCCTGAAAGATTACACACAATTATCAGAAACTCACTCTAAAACAAAGGTATAAGCACAGCTAAAAAAATAGTTAAGAATTTAGAAGGTGAAAAGATATAGAGATTAATCTAATTTTAAGCATTTATTAGAAAAACTGAAGAAAATCTTCCTGTCAAAAACAGAAGGAAAATCCTATAATGTGAAGTCTCTATTAGCAACAATCTAAACAACTATCTGGACAAAGACACAGAATGAGTAAGAAGGGCATTATCAACACCAGATGAAGAATATGAAGGCACCGCATAATAGATTTTGCACTGTCCCAATGCCATCCTCTGCAAATAAGATGCAGGGCAGAAAACGCCAGCCCACAGTTGCACTGACAAAGTCAGAAAGATAAAGACACCTGCCAGCCAGATGATGCCAGGAACTCCACGGCAAATCATGTAGGACCAATCATGGTCGCTACAAAAAAAGCTGGAAGCAATTAATGACACAAATAGAACAAGGTTTAATTATCTCATACCAAGGCACTACCTGAAATAAGGGCAACAATGTTGCCTTAGTTACGTAAGTTCTTTAAAGGGTGTACATAAAGCATGCTACAAAGAGAAAAAAATTTGTCATAACAGTCAATATCTATACAGCGCAAACAGGCTGTACAGACACACAGAGCCTCACAAAAACTTGGTAACGGGTTTAATCAGAGCAACAGAATAAGTCAATGCAGTGTGATTAACAGCAGAAGAATTCACAGCAACAGAGAAATAGAAAATATTAGAAGGAAACAGAACGTTGTACATAACTTGGCCCCAAAATGCATGCTCTACACATTTCAGAGTTGATCACTATGAGAGCGCATAAAACTATCGTGTTTCTTCAAGGTTTAGTTAAACAGTTCATACAGTTTTACTTGACTCAAGACTAGTACAACCTACTGTGCAGTGTAAACATACTGTTGATTCTCATTAAAGCAGTGCTCACCAGTGACCTGAAAAGTTTACCACATGTTTCCATGCAGTGAAGATTAACGTTATTTCTGAGCCGACCCATCAGTGCTTAGATCACAACACAGGATAGCACTAACATCATTGTAGCTTGGAGGACAGGCTGTGTATCAAGCATGATATGGGAAAATAAAGGATAACGTTTGCTCTTCTGCTTGAAGACACTGTTTCAGCATTTTTTGGATTCTTGTTAAAAAGGTTGTAAGGCCACACACAGTGCCAAAACCAAATAAAACCATTATCCTGTAAGCGCATCATTGCATTTTGGCATCATTCCACACAAAGTCTCCATAAGGCTCCAAAAACTCCAACAGAATAGCCATTTGCTAGAGCATACAAGTATAAACACTTCAGAAACACGTACAATTTCCATATATAGCACTTTCTCGTAATTTGTATGATCTCGGAAAACTACAGGCTTATCAGAGGCCTCAGAGGTCACATTGTGTCGTGTTTTACAGAGAAGCCTGCTGCCATCTTTATAGCGTGGGTAATTTCACCCATTTTCTCTGTAAAGCACATACTACATGCTATATTGTAGCACATGCAGTGCTCTATTCTAAATAGCATTTTGGAGTATGTTCTAAGTATTCACTGATGTAGTTTCCTAGCATCATAGCAGTATCAAACCTGAATGTGAGTGACAATCTTCCAGATACTTATGATGCTAAGTTATAGTCAGTAAAAAAAAAAAATAATAAAAAAAAAGTAACTCTTGTGGGACACTCAAAAAGATAGCATGTCCAAACTCGAGGGAAAACTTATGTAGAAAAATCACTTTTCACTTATCCATTCCAGGTATGTTTTACAGTGAACTTACATTATTTAGCACCCTCAAAACATAACCAGATTGCGTCCTTGTGGACTGCTTTGGTTCCATATGGTAGGACAGCATTAAAACCCCACCTTCAGAAAACCTAATGCTGACTAATCCCACTAGGGAAAAAAAAAAATACACACATTCCTCCTTCAGCATGACCAATTTACAAGTTTTTGTTTACATTCAGTTCCATTCTGGTTCTTCTTCTGTGCCCAGAGGTATCAGAGCATCCCACGCTAGCTTTAATTAGGATTACAATTCATGCGGCTGCAACTTGAAGGAGGCTCTAGCTGGGTTTGGAGTGCCATCTCATGGAAGGTCACGGATTACCAGGAAAAACTAAGGGTTTAGAAGTCAAGTGACATCCTCACAGTTGCACCTTCTTTCCATACAGAATTTTGACTATTAGACAGTAAATGTTATTAGAGCAAATTTGCTTTGATTTGCTAATGAACACATAGGGGTTTTTTAAAATCTAGTTGTGTGTCACTATTCCTACATTGCCCTTTCTTGTGGTTCTACTGTAATAATATCAAAGCTGTTCCACTTACAGTCTTAACCGAGGCTCAACACATCGCACAAAGTAATCAAAATCATCCTCCTCCTCTTCGTCCCAGGTCCTCCAGATGCACTGGTAAAAGAACCTTTTGAAGCAAAGTAAGCATTTAATCACATACAGGAGACCACATTTAACTGAGCAGAGAAAATAGCACTGGAAACAAGAACGTAACCAATTTGAGAATTCATCTCAAAGCATCACTTCTCTCCAATTCCATGTAAGTGTCCTGTAAACTGTTTAGTATACACAGAAGCAATCTTTCTTGTCTGTTGCTTACCTGCATAAAGAGTTTCATTTTGTGTATTTAAGATCAAAATTTATAATAGCCTGAGTCCCGCTTTCATCAAAAGAAAGTGAACAACTAAAAGCTAGATTTGAAAAGAAGACTCACACTGTGAGGTTTTTTGGTTCCTTGGTTTCAGCCAATCATCCTTCAGCTAAGTTTTCTTTTTGACAATGAGTTTGTCAATTCCATCATGGCAAGCTTAGATCTTTACTACTGAGTAATTCTCAACAGAATGTTGAGAATAGGAGTAAGATATGAACAGGCACTTGCAATTTAGAGGAGACAAAATGCATAAAGAAAGAATGGGACCAAAAAAAGTTTAAAAATCCACCAAAACCTTACAGAAAAGAAATAAATACTGCACTAGAGTCAGCAAGGCAATACAGCTGAAGGAAACCTGGGGTGGAGAAGAGGGAAAGCAACACAAATTATTTTTCCTCATTTTGGCACAGAAAGCACATTGAAAATAAGCTTCAGCTAAATGCACCTTGAGATTGATTACCAATAGCTGTAGAGGACACCACAGATTTTCTTTGTAAGCAGTCTCCTCATGGTATCAGTCATCAGATTTACTCTGGAAACTTTGACTTGAGAAGCTGCCAGTATGACAACAACAACTCAGAGCACCATGCACTGGATACTACCAGAGTGTAATTGTTAAGGACAAAAATCAAACCCAGAGCATTTTCCTACCTGACATGCTCTACAGCTAGTGCTGTCTGGTCAAACTCTCCTGACTCATCATACACAACCCACAGCTCCTGCAGTGGTATCTGACGCTCCTTCAGCTCCAAGAGTTCCTGCATGCACTCCAAGGTAAAGGTGCTATCCCGTGACTCGCACAGGAAAGGCTTGCTGAGGTGCACAACTGCTTTCAGAGCCGAGTACTCCACATCAACAACCTATTGGAATAAATAGTTAGGGTTTCTCAGAACCTTAGATGTTACAACAGTCAGCTCTGGACCAAGCACTTATTGCCTTTGCGCCCACAGAGTTCTACCCTCACTTACTCTGACTTGGTGTTTCCCCATCCAGTTTCAAGCAAGGAGCCCTTTCAAAAAATTTCTATTACTCTAGTCATCACCAGCAATTAGATATGAAAACATTAGTATTTTCTACCAGCTCAAACTTGATAAATAAACAATCTGTCTGTTACAGAGATAAATTATATTAATTGGAGACAAACGTCTGAGCATCTGCATTCCATTTACCTCAACAAGGACTTCAAACACATTAGTGCGCCAGACTGCCTGCCATCCAGATGGTTCAAGGACCTTCTCCAGGTACTCAGCTGTGAATTCTTTCACCTCAGAAGCTTTGCAGTCAGCTAAAAAGAAAATGAAGACAGTACATTTATGCAGGGAAAGAAAAAAAAAAGTTCTCCTGATCATCAGAAAATGAAAGTCAACAAAGGTGAAATGTTTCTCTACCACATCTAAATTTGGATTTCATTGTGTCTTGCTTGTGATAACCAACAGCTTTTTTGCTGTCTCTCAGTACTGAGAGAGGTAGAGTCATCTGGTTTGTGCTTCTCTGGAAGAAGAGATCCAGGACTCAACCTTCCAAGGTTTCAATGCCAGTGGTATTAAAGAGCTAACCTGTGCCTTATCTTAAACAGTCTTACTATACTCAAAAAAAGTTCAAGTTCAAGTAAGAACAGTTAAAACAAGGCACAGAATCTGGTATCAAGACCTTTTCCTTTCAATCAGTCATATTTATTTATATTAAAATCATTGCCTCCTGGTCCACCAATTAGAGCAGCTGAGGCTACAGCATAAGTGATAGCAGTACGCTACATCTTTTCTAGTCCCCATTATTAAGAGCATCTCACAGTTTAATAAAGAACTAACTCAACTTAAAATGGATCATTTAAACAGTCACTACAAGAAACCTGACAACATGTTCTTTTTCTACTAAAAAACTACTTACCCAGGATGTAATCCTGATATGCTTTAAATCGCTCATAAAACAAAAGATGATCGGTGTGAAAAATATCTGGAAAAAGCACATTCCCATCCGGCACAGTTCTTCCTAAAGCAGTCCCTGGTTTGTCACGACTGCCATAATCACTACAAGAATCATTTTCCTGGACAAGATCTGAGGAGTGAGAACAAAATAAATCCCACAAACTGTCAGTTTAAAATGCAGTCAAATCCCCAAAGAATTCCTGTTCCGTCCAAGATGTATCATGAACCTTTCTGCAAGACAAATTATCCTTGGTGAAGAGACAATCTTACCTGGTTACTTGCCCTATTCTTCAGAATATTTACCCTGTCCCAAACAAGGATCTCCCTACTTGTTACCACTTGCCCTGAGCTGCAGTTACCTGCTAATATTATCATTAATGTATATATCATGCCTTACTGGTTCACTGCCTGCATCACGCAGATGTGATATCAAGCAACTGTGCAAATAATTTTTGTATAAAACCAACTGATCCCACTCACAGCTGATCCAAAACAATGCATGGGATTACTGTAGGCAAAGAGCAAAATACAAGAAAGATGCATGATAAAACTGCAGAGACTAGTCTCAGCTAAAGATATGATTTCACAGTTGTCCTTTCCTTCTCAAGGCTTGTCTTGTTCTTCAGTACAAGTCTTCTGTGTTTTAATAAACTAACAAATAAAGTTTCCACAGAAATTCCAAGTAACATATTTAGGCAGAACGAACTCAGCATTGCAATTTTTGTCTGCTTAAATGGATATTGGCCAAATCTTTACTTTGAATGGCTTGACGTAATTACAGCACCCCTTTAGAAGTCTCCTAAAAAGTATCTCCACTTGTGTTCTCATTAGAAACTTTGTGAACTCAGTCCCTGTTGTTCTTACAATATGTCTCGGGCCTGGTCATCCACAAGTTCAGAAAATATTAGTAGCTTACTGAGGTGAACCAAGGGTGATGATGATTCAGGTTTTCTGTTCGCTTTCTCTTTCCATTAATGTAACAGCTCAGGACACCCTCATTGTCCATAACCTGATTCTTTCACAATCCAGAGGCCTCTCCACTTTCATTAGACTACAGTCTCACCTTTACTATATACCTAAAAAAATAGTCACATTCTATTTCTAACATATCCCTTACATTTCAGCATATGTTACAAAAGCTAGCAGTTTTGATCTCAAATTTCTTTTTGTAGTAGAGTCACTGTAATATATGTAAAGAAGATTATTTTAACCAGGTATGATTTATGAAACATTTTAAGATTCCTGTAAAACCACGGCTGTGTTACATGTACGCTATAAATAATTATTTCTTTCCTCCCATAGACCCATAATTAAAACCAGCAACTATGACAGCAATGTTCTGTACCAGTCACACTATCAATTCCAGAGCACAGCACGCATCCCAGAACAAGCCGTTTAATTTAGCTTGCTCTTCGTTTACAAACTGCAAGCCTACAAACATGTATCAAGAATGACCTGGCGCTAAGTCATGATACTCAACAGATACTAAAAGCACCAACAGACCAATATTGTGCTCTTAAAGCAGAGAACAGGGCAGTCACTTCCAGGAAAGCACTTCTCCTTTGTCAGGGTTTCAAGCATATGCCTGTTCCTGGACGCCGATTTAAATGCCTGTGGTACGCACCTAAGACACACCGGAAGCTCATCGTCAGAAGCAGAGAAACTGACCTCACTAGGTTTGTTCCCAAAGACATCTCCACGCCCTCCGCAGGGCACATTTTCAGCCGACCCCGCCCCAGGCACCTGCAGCCTCACGAACCGGGGAGCGCCGAGCCCGGCCACCAACTGGATCCCGGTAGATCTACGGGCTGCCCGGGGAGGTTGTGCAACCTCCGTCCGCGGAGGCGTTCGAGCCCTGGCCAAATTCAAGCAGCTCTGG